TGCATAATATGTGACCTTTAAACTAAAGATCATACTTTATCACAGAGTCATGCATGAGAGTTGAAGAGGTTTTCTTATCATTGTTTATTGTTGAAAAAGTGATACTTATGGACTGCAGAGAAGTGTATGAGGCTGCATGGATCGTTTTACAAGCTACTGTGGATGTTTGATACTTTAGTTTCACGCTGAAATTGGGTCACTGCAGCGCGTTGTGACTGCTTGAGAATCCAAACTGTCTCCACCCGCTGCCTCGCCATGAAAAAGCCGGTACAATGGTCCTTTGAAGCCTTCAGGAGGCGAATGTTTGACACTCACAGATAGATTTTAGGCGCAGTATCACTTTGACCTGATTGTCATCCAAAGCTGTGTAAGATTCATGACCGGCAAATAACTTGTGCGAAATCAGACACATAGTCTGCGGTCAGCCGACGAACATTTTATCCTCATAATGGACAGACGTTCTGGCGTCATAGGAAGAAATGAAATGAGGTGACACAGGAGATCTCCCGCTGCTTCACTCTTGACAGCTTTGATTCCTTGTATCTGCAGCTGTCCAGGGCTAAATCCAGGCTCATGTTGCACGGGTTTACCTCTTACCCGCTTGTCTGCTTGCACCATAGATGATTTAATGGATCGCGTATAATAACAGTACTGGGGGATTGCACTAGATGAACTTGTTGGCATGGAAAGTTGCTTCCAATGGGGAAAAAAGTGTTGCTTCATCTTAAAAAAAATATATTTCTTAAAGGTTTCTAAGACAAACTTTACTCTTCTTCCAAGTGTAAGTTTGAGATCAAGGTTATTGTAATGCTTTGCTCTTTTGGTATGAAGTCATTTGATATCTTGAAAAAAAGAAAAAAAAAGACATTCCTGTATAAAAGTCGGACTCATTTTAATGCGGGTAGATATTATCTGGCTCATACCAGAGATATCGATACCATAGTATGCTTTCTGATTTGTATCCATATGACACTCGCAGCACTGTCTGCAGCACATGATACAAAGCATCATGGCTGAATAGTGAGTTGGTTGACAGTGGTTGGGTGAAAGTGTGGAGCAAATGTTACATCTTCTTCAACCAAATGTAAGAAAACTAGTATTTTCATAAAGTAAAAATGGTTAGAAAGTGTTGGCTGCAATATCGATAAAAGGTCAAATATGGGGCGCCAAAATGATCAAGGGATAGTCTAGAGGATATAGTGCTCGCCATAGCCGCCATGGGTTCAAATCCGACCTCGGCCCTTTGCTGCATGTCGTCCCCTACTCTCATCCTAACCTTTCCTTGTCTCTCATAAGCTGTCTTATCTAATAAAGGCAACAATTCCCCCCCCCCCAAAAAAAAATCAAATAGGTCAAATCTTAGAATGCAAAAATCTAAAGTGTATCAGCTTTAAAGGTCTGACTGCATCTCTGTTCAATGCTCGCTGATGTAGCTTTAACTGAAGACCTGTTTTCAAAGAAAAATACTTCAAACCAAAGGATTCTTTTCTTGCAGTGAGTAAGGGGGCTGCCATATGGTTGGATGATGATATTCGATGTTGAACACCTTGTGGATTTCCAGCGTTTCTCACTTTTCTCTACGATAGGTCTGTACAATATGAAGCTTGTGTCCGTGCAGGTTAGCTGAGAACACTGCTGTTTCCTTTCTCTTATTTATTGTAACCATGTAATTGAGTTTTCTACCTCTAATGTAGACGTCCCTGCTCTCCTATAATAAAAGATGATTTAACCCAAACTGACTGTGTGACCAGTGGATTCAGTGACTCACATCGACGTGCTTCATCTCTTGTGGGAACCAGGGCGGCATGAAAATGACAGACTGGCACTCTCGATTTACGAGCAGAGAACAGGGTGGCTTTTAATTTAAGGCAGCTCTCGATTGAGACATCATATAGACCCAGACTCTCCTAATTACACACACACACACACACACACACAGAAAGAGAGCAGCCATTGGCTCGGCAGGCTGGCTGCGGAGGCAGAAAGCCTCGTCTAACCTCTTGATTTAAACAGTCTGAGAGAGAAAGGGGACAACGAGGCACACAACACTCGCTCAATCACTACCGCGCTCATTATTGCATCGATTCACCTGCAAATGGAGAAACGATACAAGGAAATTAACAAGATCGATAGACAAACCGGCCAATGGAGGGGTCAGCAAATGGAGGAAGGGGAAGTTCAGGAGAAATAAAAAGCATTTACATATAAGTGCGTGCGTTCAGAAGAGACACTGGAGAGTTGTTCTTGTGTGTTTCAGTGTATAATTTCCCTGCGTCTGTGTTTGGAGAAAGGTCGTCATTAAGTGAATGTCATCCACATAATTATAGTATCTTCCTCTGTGTCCCTTTCGATGTGTGTGTCCGTGGCAGAGCACCAGTGCGTGTCCCGCCTGTCTCCTCGGGTCCCTTTGCTCTCCCCGACTTGATTGTTTGTGTTGTCGGCCGGCCTAAAAAAGGGGAAGCTCCTCTGCTCGCTTTAGGGCCGTCACTGCTTGGCCGGCTGGCGGGAACCGTCTGTACTGAGGGGGACTAAATATAGCTCACTGCACCAGGAAGAAGACAAACTGGAGAGAGAGAGAGAAAGAGAGAGAGAGGCAGGGGGGAGGGCGTAAATATAGAGTACCCCTGTGCAATTAGAGAGTCGAGCACTGCTGGGAAATTTTAGAGAAAAAGACAGGGAACTCTATCTTATTCTTTTCTCTCTCTGTGCCTTTATACTTTTGGCTGGCGGCAGCCTGAAAGGCTCATGTTTGAGTCATCACATCTTAGAGTAACCCAGTTTAAAGGGCATTGACTAATCTTTATAGCTTTCTTTGTGAATTTAATTACACACTATTCAGCACTTTTACTGCCTCTTTCATCCAAAAAAAAAAAACATGACAATGACAATAAAGGTATTACGAAGAAATCATTCTGTAAACAAAGAATGTCCTTATCTGAAGAGAGCTGTCACAGGTTTAAAGGGCAATACGCACCATGTGAGGTTGGATCCATATAAAAATCAGTTTTGAGGGATGTCAGACTTTGCACACTCTCAGGTCAGCCGGTCTATTCAGCATGATGTCATTCTGGTTTTTATTGGTTGGTTGGTTGGGTTGTAGCATGAGGTTGCCATGAGAAAATGTTGTCCTGATTTTGTGACTCTAAGGATTCTCTGTGTCGGATCAGATCATAGACTCGCTGTGGATCGGCTTAGAGACAGATTGAATGGAAATGATGAGAGGGAGTGAGGTGCCAGCACCCATTATGTCACTTTTCTCAAGCTTGGGGAATTTAAAAGCCATGCATGGAGTAGAAAAGTTTTCAGAGACTGATACAGATTCTTAAGGAGAAAGAAAAATCACATTTCTAATATAGCAGCCTGTACAGTGGACTTCTGTGCTGGAAACGAAATATGTGGATTTTTTTCAGAAGCCCACTTTTGTAAGTGATCGACTTTGTTAAAGAACATTTGAATTATCAGCCGTCTCTACTTATTCTGGTGTGGATCACCTGAGCTGTGAGTCTGTGCTACCTGTGCTGCTGACAGTGCTCAGAGAAGTGTAAACACTGGAGAGGGAGCACACCTGTCTCAGCTCATGAAATGATGACGCAACTTCTGAACCAGAAATCTGTTTTCAGAGGTCCTGTAAAAAAAAAAAGATTTCATTTCCTAGAACGTCTAGAAACACGCTGAATACATACACACTGAAATGTTAGTGATTGGACCAAGTGGGCGCTGCATTATCTACACGATACTAGAGGCTGAACGACAGATCAGTCAGGCTTCAGTAATCATTACATAACATACCTTTAGGGTGGTTTCACATTAGGGGCTTGGCCCGGAGCCGAGTACACTTGACCCCAAAGTCCGTTTAATTTGGTCACTGTAAACACAAACCTAAGCATACACTGCTCGAGTCGGCTTAAAGAGGCGGAGAGGGGAGGGCGAGCAATCGTGACAAATGTGAAAACACAGAAAAAGTCGCAAAAAACCGAAAAGAACAAAGACAAGCTTCCTTTTTTTTCAATGGATGATGAGAGGATTTATAACTTGTCAGTTCTTTGTGACAAATAACACGCCATGAGAGATGCAATTGATGCCATTCACACTGATTTGTGTTCCCAGCATAACATGCTTCTGGTGCTTGGGTCACAAGTGTGAAATACTGCGGCGCCTCAAAGTGAGAATAAAATGAGCCGCCAGTGGATCTACCTCACTGTGTGATCTGAGACCGCTCCGAAAGGAAGGCCACAAAGCAAAGGCTGGGTAAACACTGAAACCAGGCCCCTAAAATTTTGGATCTGGAAAAGTGTCATTCAACTCCCGCAAGCGCTCTGTATGAGGAGTTCTGACCCCTTAAATCACCTGTCCTTGGACATGTCTCAACATGCCACGGCTTGGAGCCACCGTTTTTGATTGACGCCCAAAGACTCCTCAAGGTTTCTCTCACTAGGAAAGCCCCCAAATCAGACGGGTTATGAGTGTTTTAAAACTTGCTAAAACCTGCCGTGTGATTCAAAATATCATCTTGTCTGCATTCCTGCTAATCTTATGAGCTGTGCAAACAAGGACAGGAAAGAATCAGCCTTTTCATTCATCGCAGTTTAAGACACTTCCTGACAGTACACACCTGTGAGTGCACACAGAGTGACATGTCGAGCTCAAATTGCCAGAAAAAAACCTGGCATGATTAGATCTGTACTCCCTCGTGCTGGCACACACACATTCACACGCTTGGCTCTAACCCGCAGCGCTAGGTTGTCCTCACTTTCACCACTGCCGTTCCCCTTATCACTCACTTTGAATCTCTTTTTCTTTTCTTTTTGTTGGCTGCATTGTGTATTCCTGTCTCTCCTTTAAGGGTTGCTGTGTTCTTGCGCAGACACTGGTATCTTCCAGATACTCTAAGGAGCCTGATAAAGCAAAAGAAGTTCTATCAGTGTGTCGTAATATGTATTTCCTCGTCATAGCTGCGTTATTTCAATCTAATCAATCCGTTTTCCTCTTTTCTCTTCCAGAGTGCTGATGTCTTTGGGGAAAAACAATCTGGTCCCAAATTGGAGAGCGCTTCAACTCTACGCCTGTTCCGTTTGTGACAACCAATCAAATCAAGCTGAGCAGCAGGATTGGACACCCCCCCCCCCCCCCTCGCAGCACTTTGACAGAGACTGATGGAGTTTTTTGTTCTCGCTCTGTCTCTCTTCACTTTCATCTTGTTGGTTGTGGAAAAACCAACACGGATGCGTGCCAAATGACGTTCTAGAAAAGCCGCGTGCTGCTCTCATTCCTTGAGTGGAAAGCCAATCAGAGAAGGGTACCGAGAAATTTAGATTTGTTTTGTTTTTTTTCAAAGCGAAAAAAATCATTATCGTTAAGACTATAATGGTGGCTAACAAGTGTATTAAAAAAGAAAAGAAAATTATATATATCAGCTCAAGAAGTGCCTCATTTTCAGATTGTAGCCATTTACAAAGAACTTCATCTTACTGAAGCTTTTTTTTTTTCTGTGTGCTTGATTTGATGTAGAATTAAAACAAGGCAGGAGATAAAGATGAACGCTTGCTGCGTTCATGTCATATCGTCTGAATGGTAGAAATAATAGCTATCTCTATGTTTACAAACTCGCAAAAACAGTTTAGTCGAAGGTCAGACTAATAGCGTGCATGGTTGATTTAACTATATATCTACAATCGTCTGCTTTATTTATAGTTGATTAACATTTTGTGTTAGGATTACAGGAACTTCTGTATCACTCGGTGCAACGTCAGACAAATCAAAGTGTAATAATAATATTTGCATCTGAAATAATAATGACTTACGCAACATTTGCAAGTGTGAAAATCTTCACAAAGAAAATCCAATATGACATGAATGTAGCATAAATAAGGTGTGTAATGATAATGGTACTAGCAATGAGCTGGCCTTCCGGTCTACTGTGAGAAAATATTAGCATAGCTGCTGTTAGCATTCAGCTAATTTTATAACCCCACTCTTTTTCAGTTTGTCCTTTTCTTTTTCTCTTCCCTCTCGCTTTTTTGATGAATACGCCTCAAGTATTAAACACACAGGCTTGAAACATAAGGCACTAACGAAGAGATATACCGAAGCTTGCTAGTTAGCTAAAGTTAGCAAAGGTCATATTAAGATATTAGCAATGTGCCGGGACGTGAGTTTAACGTCCTACTGTCCACAGCTCAGGGTAAGACCCCTGCCATAGAGCCAAGGAATCCCATTAGTGCTATTAGCTCCAAATACCTATGCCCCACTTTCCTGCTGTCTTCTCAGGATGCTGAATAACATACAGTAGCTGTAGCCTACATGCAGCTGAGGATGGAGATCTTCTAAATAGCCATGCTAATGCTAGCTTTGTAGCGGTCAGCTCACTGCTTTTAGCACAGGACAGAGTGTCCGTTTTCTTTCAATTCTGTCAGAAAAAAATGACAAACAAATTGTTCACAATTATTTTAAACTTTACAGTTCCAGACATTTTAATTTTTTTTTTTTAAATCTGTTGAATTGAAACTGCGTTGACGCATCTTTCTTTAGAACTTTCTTTCTCCTTTCCTTCCTCCTTTCTGTCTTTTGCTTGGCTCTTTCTTCAACCTCCGCTATGCATCTGCACTTAAGTGCCTGTCTGTCCTTTTTACTCTCTGCCCCGTCTTAGCAGCTAGCACTATTAGGGCTGTCCTACCTGAATATATCAGGTCTTTTTGTGTCTTTTGTGTTTTTTTGGCTGTACAGTTCTCATAAAAAAAATGTATATGTCTGTTCAGTGTGATGATGTTCTATCAGATGACTTGACTTTTACAGCCATGGCCCTAACTGGAGGAGTTTTGGACTGTTTCTCTTTGCCGGTAATGGAGGACTTAATTGTCGTGGGGCCTTTAGTGCCAAAATACAGCAAAAAAAAAAAAAAAAAAAAAAGGCTCCGGCAGCACCTCAAGAAGCAACCTTCAGCTCTCAAGTCTAGACGTAATGCTTTGTTTTGTTTTCAAAATGTTATCTTTTTTTTTTATGTTCCACCGTTTTTTCATTTGCAGCAGGGGGGAAGAACTGTGACATATCTCGCCTCGCAGTCTGTTTATGTGACTCTTGGAGATTGAAGGTCATGGTGAAGACATGCGTATGCTTTAACCTTGAATCTGCCTACAACTTTGACCGCAAACGCAAAAAGAAATGCATGGCAAGAGAGAGATAAGGCCACCTCGGAAGAAAAACAACAAAACACAAATACCCTATGTCTGCATATGTGTGCATCTATGTAGCTCCAAATTGTACTCATGTGTTTGTCTGCCAGCCTTAGGAAGTTCATGAACTTTCTCATTCTGGTCACATGACTGTCGGGCGGCCTGGAGCTTAACAATGCTGCTTTATTATGAGCAGATTGGGATCTGTGGCTGGATTGCCTGTAATAGAGGTTTCTAAAAAGTAATGGGACTTGAGACCAGATTTAGCACATTGAACTATGCTCTTGTACAGACTAGCAGGGAAACACATGATTAACGGTTGAAATGTTTCTGATGGAGATGTTCTCATATGAAAATAATTAGCAGTTTTCAGTATAAATGTTAAAGGTACGTATAATTCAAAACGATTGCAGAACACATGCTTTCAACGTCATCATCCTGCCATTGAAGCCCCGTTGGGAACGGATCATTTTGTCAACTTATGAAAGAACTTCTTTCAAGCTGCCCGCAGCAGTCTGAAAAACCCTTCCTGTTGTCTGCCTGTGGTGAAGTGTTTAGTCGTCAAAGCCACATATCATGAATACAGTTCCTCCGGGAAAGCTCAGACGAACAGGGGTTTACGAGTTTAAGTGGCTGTATGATTTCATTCACTGCGTTGTTAGCGACTTCAGCAATTCTCATAAAATGTGCTCAAGGAAAGTGCTGCTGCTGTTCTAAATGGTGTAATCTCTTCCTCTTGTTCCCTTGAGGAATGGTACTGAATGGGAATATTGTGAAATTTGCCATTGATGTAGACAGTTTTACTTCTGTTGCTTGAAAAAAAAAATGACTAAAAGAAAAAAAAAATTCAAACAAGAAAAGGACTTGTGGTTGCTTTTGTTTGTGTGACTGGCTGCTATGTTTCCTTTGTAGTGAAGTAATGGGGAGGATTGTTAAAAGTGACAGGCTTAAGATGGAAAAACAGAAGAGCTACTGGTCTACAAGGGGACAAAGACGAAGAGAGTGGAAGACGCTACAATTTACGGGCTGAGGCAAGTGTGAACATTTGCATGAAATGTCACAGACAGATGGGCTCATGCCCCTCTCACACTCACCATCTTTGACTAACACACAAACAGAGAGAGACCACAGCGCAGATGTGACACTGTAATGTGGAAAAGAAAGCAGCCTGACTTATCCAATAAAACTGCATTAGTCGCAATGACCACTACCAATCTTTGATGTTGTGCTGCTTTTTTTAAGTTGCATATTGTACAAACAGGGTACCTGATCTTTTCTAAATTTTCTCTGCTCCACTGATCAGCACTTGGAGGGTTAATGGCACGTAGACAACAAATGATACATATTTTATATTTTAAAGGTCACATATTCAAAAGACACTTAACCATGTTTTTCTAAACTAATATGTGTCTGTCTACAAATCCCCCAATTAAGAGAAAAGTCGATCCTCTCCGTCTTCTACCTGCTCCACGTTTCAGAAAATATGTGCCCAAACAGGCCGTTTGGAGATTTTCCCTTCATGACATCCCAAAGGGCAGTAACTCCTCCCCCAGCTGGATGAAACTCCCACAGCTAGGTGTTTGTTGTGCCCTCTAAGTCTGCCTTCTCACTGTAAATAATAGGGCAACCCAAGCCCTTCCAGAGAGGGGGTGTTGTCAAACACAGCTCATTTGCATTTAAAGCTACAGACACAGAAACAGTGTTCTGATCAGGGCTGAAATAGAGGGGTTTATATGAATGATCAAATACAGGACCAGAGTGGATTTAGAACAAGAAACTTCACACACATGTTTTGGGGAGCTGAAAATATGTGACCTTTAACAAATATTTTTGATATTAGAACTGGAGCTGAGGTGAGCCTTAAGCCTCCGGGGGATCAGCTACAAAGCCCCTGCTTGCAGTCATAGCAATCACGCTCCTAATATCAAAAGCATAAGTTGTTAAAAAAAAATAGTTTTTTGAATAAATCAATCTGTATCTGTACAGTGTCTGCTGATAAAGACATTAACTACTCAGACCAAAATCGGGTTTTTTTTTGTACAAGGCGATACGCACTTTTATTTCTGCTGTCAAAATGGGAATTTTAATGTGAGTAGTGAGCCAGCCTCAAGTGGACACTCAGGGAACTGCAGTTTTTGTGATGCCGCATCGGCTTCATTTTCAACAATATCATTTGAAATTCTATCTGTGAGTGTTAGTGGAAAACAGCAGCCCTGTTTACATGGTAATGAGATTATTTATAAGGATGGCATATTGGTATCAGAGTTCATCACTCCTCTTAGCAGTCATTTGCCCACTGTGTTGATAGCTGGGTGAGCTCCTGGGTTTTATTTACTAGCATTTCTTCTCACACACATTTTGTTTGATTTAATAAGCTTTTTTTAGGGATAATAAATCTGTCTTCTTTTTACTGTGAACATGTACGGGATGTTGTATCATCCTCCTTTCCAGATGGCAGAGTAACCCAACCCAGACAGAGGCACTGTAGGAATGAATAGGAAGGAGAAAACACACGCACACACGCACACACGCACACACACACACACACACACACACGCACACACACACACAGAGAGATCAGGTCTGGACATGTATCAGGCCCTCTCACTTCCCCTTAACTGCCTTAAAAATAAGGTTAGGGTGGACAGTAAAAAGCTTAGTAGCACCTGTCTGAAAGCAGAAGAAGCCCACACGTTTCCACCTGAGTGGCTACTGAAACCTACTTTTCTTCACTGCTCATGTTCCCTCAACTTTTGTTCACTTTTATCTCACACAGCGACAGCCCTGAGGGGATTTTAAGACCTACTTTAAGATTAGTTTCAGCGGAGACATTTCTCTTTTCCCATAACGTACTGGCACAAGCACTTCTCTTGATACATCGGCTGACTATAACCATAATGAGCACGAATATTCCTCAGGAAACTCATTTTCACACAACTCTTTCTTCTTGTGATGCACCCTTAGGCTAACTAAAAATCTCTACATCCACCACAGTCACAGAGACTTAAGTTCATGTGTCAAATGTTCGGAGTCAGATAAACTCAAATGTCAACCCCTCCTTTTGTGTTAGAGCAAGACAGAAATGTTAAAGCGGCATCAGCTTGTATAAAGAGAGAATGAAGGAGCAGAGGACAACAAATGGGCACAGCTGCCATCTGGTTGTCCCGGTGACGAGCAGCGACAATGCCTGCCTCGGCGAAGGTGGCAACCTCTCCGATCAAGACGAGAGAGAGGAGAGAGAGGAGGAGGGGTGCTGGATGGGAGCCAAGGCAAGAGGACACCGAGTTCAATGGCAGAGAGGTGCGTTGGATACACTCCAACAGGTGAACCTGTTGTGTCTGAACAGGCGAGTATCATCTCCTCAGTGTGAGTGTGTGATACTGTATCTCTGAATAAACACACCGACATGCACCTATTGGCCCACAGCCTGGAAATAGACCCAATAACCTCGCTTAATTACACACAGCAGTGTAGACGCAGAAAACTCCTCCAATTTATCCAAAAGGAAAAACCACAGGGACAACTTAAAAGCTTGAGCTTTCAGTTAAATCACAGGATCCTTTTAAAAAAGTGATTCTAGTTGTTTCAGCTCTGAACCGATATGGATGATGGAAGTTGTTAACATTGATGATTAGTCAAACTCCAACTCTACAAGTACACAAGATCCAGGTAAAAATGAGCATTTCAGATTTCCACAATGACATTCTTCCCAGGACAAATCACTTTTCCCATTCTTGTGTATTGGGCTTTTCAGATATTGACGTATTCTTCATGTCCTGAGTGAGCATTACTGATATCTGCAACAACAAAAAAAAGAAATTCATACATATAGCCTATCTACTAATAAGTGAGTCAGTGCTTTCCTGACATTGTCTGGAAGCCTGTTGTGTCGTACATTGTGGTAAAAAGCCAATCAGATTACAGGAAATGCAGGTAATTATTATGTTTTTAAATACTGGGCACAGTAAATTGAACATTCCCGCGTTTGCCTCCACACATGGGGCGCGACCTAACCGCTAGGCCATCTGCGCCCCCCTCCCCTCCCCACACACACACATCTTTTTTATGGTCCTAATTATGTGTTATGATTTTGATGAGTTCACTCATATGTCATCTCACAAAACTGTTAAGGGGGATTGTAAAGCATAAGACACTCTCTGTTTATAATGAACGTGCTGCTCACAAGTTGAATTAACGACTTAAATGCTGAAGGCGTTTTGCTTTCCTTCTTTTAGTCTACATTATTGTAAAGCACTCTGTAACTTTATTTTGAAAATTGCTATAGAAATGAAGTGTCTTTATATTTATGTTGCAAGACCTCAAGTCAAAGTGGTCTGCTTCTGCCATTAAACACAGCTGCAAACCTTCATGTAGCCTTTTCGGGGGTTCAGCAAGCAAATTGAGCGTTCAAAAATGACCACTGTTGGAATAATGTTGTGAACATACCGCAGTCTTCCTGGGATGGAGTTGTTACCATTCTGCAGGCTTGCACAGATAACACTTATGTAAGCACGTGTGTTTCTGTTTTAAAGGAAGACCCTCTACGTGTCTGCTTATCCCAGTAAAAACACGTCTCCAGCCCATGGGAAGCACTGGTATGAAGGAGCGGCGTAACTCTTCGGTCAGATGTATGTCTTGGCCTGCTATTTTTATGGTGTTTACATCATCTCAGAGCATGTACAGTCTGTCCTGCTACATGTTGGCAACAATACAGGAAGTCTTCCCGTCTTTATGACTTCCTCTATGGCGCAAACCACGGGAAGCTCTCTGGATGTAGGACAAGGAAATAGCTTTTGCTCCCATTGCGAATGTAGGAATGTTAATGTGGGCTAATCCATCCATGCTCCTAAATTGCTTCCTTCCCATCATTCACTGCAGAGAGTAGGCTATATCTAGAGGGATGTTTCCTTTTCCACCATTTCTTTTTTTTTCTTGTGGAGTTCCCACAGTAAGCTCCATAAGTAATGCTACAGGTGTTTTAGCTTATGTAAACCTACTGTGTGTTGACCGAGCCAAGAAAGCCGAGGATTACTGTCTGTACATCGCAAGCTGCCCCTGCTAATCCTCCAACTTTCCCTCTTGTTTTCCCCTCTTTCCCAGACCTTCCAACTAGATTTAAAGGCAAAGTTAAACAGGCTCAATAAAGTCGAGTTGAACAAACGCACATGGTTCAAACCAATAGCTGGAGCCATTGCTGTGTTGAATTTGAGGTAATCTGACCCACGAATGCCACAGCAGATGCAACATTTTTCTGATGTATTTCCAGTTTTTTCTTTTTTTTCCCCTCACCGCCCTCTCTTTCTCCTAGTGTATTTAGCCTCACAAAAAGCCTTTCTTCTCTGCCTCCCCCCCCCTTCCTCCCTCTCTCTCTCACCCCCCACATTAGCCAACACTCACCCCTCTCCCTTCTCCTCATAAGAAAATGTTTGCCATAATCACGGATTTGTCTTTTTTATTACAGGCAGCATACGAGAGTGGCTTCTCGGGGGAAGAAAAAGGAGGGGACGTGCCAAATGGAGTGAGTGATTGAGGGAAAAGGAGAAGGGGCGGAAGGAGGGAGGAGAGGAGGGTGTGTTGGGTCGGCTGGGGTGGGGTGGGGGGGGGGGGGCTGTGAGGCCTCTGTGCTTTATTTTCCTTGAAAGCTCCCTGAAAACCGCAGACACATGGTACAGAATTCCCCCTCACAGTAGGAGAGGTGGGAGGGAGGGATGGACAGTTTTTGCAAGAGAACACCACACTGTCTGCGATAAACACACACACACACACACACACACACACACACACACACACAGGGAATATTATAGGCGAGTACACACACTTGGAAAAAGGAGGCAGTGTGAACCAGACGAGCAAACACTCTGCTACACAAAAGAGAGGAGAGACTTTGAAGGAGCCGACAGGAAACCTCAAAAACATCATGTCACCTCGCTTCTTCTCTGCTCTATGGGAAAGTAGAAGGTCCCACTTTCCACGGGTGTTGGTATGATGATGATGGTGGTGGTTAAGGGGGCGGCAGGGTGGGTGTTAATCCAACGTACAATGTGTTTAACTTTGACTGGCAGATCCCTCGAAACCCCCCCCCCCATCCCGCCCCACCCTCTCCTCGCTGTGGGGCCCCTTTGAGCTCGGAGATTGAGGACAAGCACAGAAACTGGTATTTAGTTGGAGTTGTAGGACGACTGGGAAAAAGTGAAGGGTCAGGTGGTGTGAATGGACCTGTTAGGGGTTTCATGGGAGCTTAGAGTAGACCCCCCCCCCCCCCCCCTTAAATTGAACTCTTGACTGATTTGAGGATGTAGGCAAAAAAAACAATTCACCATATTTTTCATTATTGCTCACTTAAAAAAAAAAAACATCTGAGACAAATTCTGCAGTTTTCTTTGCCCCCTTTAACTTGTTAAGCGAATTCCTTTTAACAAGAAGACATCACACATGGGAAACTTCAACATCTATTAGTTAAGGTCACAAAATGGATGAGAAAATGGAGGAGTATCGCCATCTAGTGGGTGCCATCTTGCATCTGCTCTCTCTGTATATGCATCACTGTTAGACCATGACCAAATCAGCTTCCCCCTTACAGTATAAGATTTTAGAAACATAATCACCAAAAGTTCTTGTGATAAACAAAATCCTTTAATTGAGTGTTTCCTTTGTGGCATAAATCAACAGGAACACCACTTAATGACCTGCTCCCCTCATGTTCTTTGTGTACTTATTAATGGCTTGGCAAAAGTCAGAAAAGAAACCCTTCTCACAAACAGGGAGATCAAGTTTTTCCATCAAACCCAGCGACCAGCATGCTGAAACCCTCCTGCAAGCGAGAAAGAGGAGATGGAAAATCTGTGTCAGCACGCAGAGTAGCCACTGCCTGCCTGGAAAAATGAGGACACAAGGAATGGGAATACAATCAATTTATAAAAAGCCTCAAGTATGACCTCCCATCATACTCCCTTCTTCATACTTGACATTACATTATGCAAATCATTTGCCAAATGAGGCAAAAGGCATACACAGTAATCCACATTTGACCTCTGTGGATTTTCCACTCATCAAAAGGTTTTGGTTTCTGCCAGAAGCGGAGAGTTGGAGGATGTAATTTAATAGAAACTCTGGGTTTCCAGACATAATTTACTGTGCCCAGTATTTTAGAAATAATCACGATTACCTGCATTTCCAGTAATCCGATTGGCAAACCCAATGAGTGCTTTTTACCACAATGAATGACACAACAGGCTTCCAGACAATGTCAGGAAAGCATTGACTCACGTATTCATTTATTTACATGAATAAGAACCCTGAGTTGATCACTCATATTCATGATCTTTTTTTATCAATTTATAATTTTGTACAACAACAAAAAGTAGTATAACATTACACTTTTATAGTTTATAAGAGTACAGTTGTTCAGTCAACTGTAATAAAGAAGACAAGCAAAAAACAAACATCTGGCATTTAAATAGCAGGCAACAACAGATGTTTTACATTTTCATGTTGAAAAGTGACTCAGTAATCAATTATCAGAAAGTAACTGTTCCATTTTATTTATATCAAATAGCTGATTAATAGGAGAGTTATTTTTTTCTTTAATAAAACACAGTGTGCTGATATCAAATATGAATGCCATGCATTGGTAGGCCTATTTAAAAAGCTACAATGTTATGTGTTTGTGTGATTGAATAGCAATATGAATTTGATATGGTTTGGATACTGTGTCCAAAGATTACATAAATTACCCTTGAACAAGGCTAGTTCAGCAGCAGCAGCCAGCTTCTTTAGCTAGCTTTAGCTTTAGTGTTATTAAGCATAAAAAAATGTAACTCTACTATCTTACTCTAAAGGTACCTTAATCTACTTGCCATTAAACTGACTTATTATGGGTGTTTGATTAATTTGTACAAAAATAAATAGTTTTAAAGGTCAATCAAGTAAGCTAGTTAGCACAGGTTGCAGCAAAAAATTAGAAAGGTCTGCACACTGTCCACAAGAGAGTGGCTCTCAATGGCAATTTTATTCAAACAGGGCAACGCTTTGATCTAAACTTTCTAGCCTCAGTGATGGTCCCAAAATATTAAACCATTATTGGTAAAATAATCTCAAACAAAGCTAAAAATTGTTAATTTACATAGCCTAATGCCCTATAATGTTCAGACTTAATGATTATTCAATTGTTTTTAAAATACAAAATTCTTAAACTAAGATTTGACTTAGACTTACAATGGCATTTTTTATATTAATTCAGTCATTTTGCTTCAGAATTCAAAGTTGTTTACCCCCAAAACACAAAAATCCCAAGTAAGCCACATTTCCAACTTTTATTGAAATGGTTCCAACCACTTAACAATTCAATACACTCTTCATAATTTATCATTGTTTGTAACGTTCATTGACTTGAAGGAGACATTCCCAGCTGATATGCGTAGATAATCTAATTCTAACAAATCCTCAGTAAGCGATTTACTCGTTGTTGAAAAAACATTGGACATGTCAAAATCCCCACTTCCACTTCCGTCCTTATCTGGGATTAAATCAGATGTTTTTAAGTCAATGTCTCCAAGATCCAGCGTGTTATTCTTAACAATGCGGAAATCCTTTAACTCATCTTCAGCAGGTTTTTCAGGACCTCTGCTTGAGTTATCTTTAGTGAACACAGCACCCTCTGAGTTCAAGTTCCAGTGAGCTGCCTGTGCTTCTTGCTTGATCATAGCTGTAATGTTTTGAATGCTTTTCTTCTGGGTTGGTGTGACTGGTGTCTGGAATTTTGCTCTGACACCACTGAACAAGGCACTTCCAAGAATATCAGAGTGAGAGGAAGCTTTGACTCTGGCAGGAATCTTAGGCAGCCTGAGTATCAGATCATTGGTTACAGAGTTAGATTCATTGAGCATTTTGGCATTTGCTTGTTTTCCTTTCACGAGTTTGCCTCCCACTGTAGAACTGGGAGAACTGTTGAGCAGACTCGCCTTCATAGGAGTCTTAAGAGGCCCAGCTGATCTGAGGAAAGCAGAGGAGATTGTCTGATTTTTAGTGAACACAGCACCCTCTGAGTTCAAGTTCCAGTGAGCTGCCTGGGCTTCTTGCTTGATCATAGCTGTAATGTTTTGAATGCTTTTCTTCTGGGTTGGTGTGACTGGTGTCTGGGATTTTGCTCTGACACCACTGAACAAGGCACTTCCAAGAATATCAGAGTGAGAGTAAGCTTTGACTCTGGCAGAAATCTTAGGCAGCCTGAGTATCAGATCATTGGTTACAGAGTTAGATTCATTGAGCATTTTGGCATTTGCTTGTTTTCCTTTCACGAGTTTGCCTCCCACTGTAGAACTGGGAGAACTGTTGAGCAGACTCGCCTTCATAGGAGTCTTAAGAGGCCCAGCTGATCTGAGGAAAGCAGAGGAGATTGTCTGATTTTTAGTGAACACAGCACCCTCTGAGTTCAAGTTCCAGTGAGCTGCCTGGGCTTCTTGCTTGATCATAGCTGTAATGTTTTGAATGCTTTTCTTCTGGGTTGGTGTGACTGGTGTCTGGGATTTTGCTTTGACACCACTGAACAAGGCACTTCCAAGAATATCAGAGTGAGAGAAAGCTTTGACTCTGGCAGGGATCTTAGGCAGCCTGAGTATGGCTACTTTCCAAGCATCATTGGTTACAGAGTTAGATTCATTGAGCTTTTTGGCATTTGCTTGTTTTCCTTTCACACGTTTGCCTCTCACTATAGAACTAGTAGAACTGTTGAGCAGACTCGCCTTCATATGAGTCTTAAGAGGCCCAGCTGATCTGAGGAAAGCAGAGGAGATTGGCTGATTTTGTGTTTGTTCTTTGGACTTCCAGGTTGTTTTGTTAAAAGCATTTTGAATTCTGGTTGGAACAGGTTGAAATCCATGAAAATTATATATTTTATGATTCTTTTTGTAGTTGTCAGAAGTGAATCTGTGATCTGATTCTGAACGTTGTGATGTCTTTAGAGGTAGTTTAGGCTCATTTTCACTCATTGATCCATGTCTTCTACCTGGTTCTATTTTACCTGTTTTATTGTACCCATATCTCTGAATCCTCCGGCTTACAGGTTGCTGGATCTTTGAGCTTCTGGGTTTAAAACCTCCTAAATCCGGCTTGACTCTGGTAGACTTGTCTGGTTCACCAAGTAAAGCTTTGGCTCCCTCAAGTGGCCGATTGCTAAACCCGTCAGGACCATAATTTCTCCTGTAGATCCTCATCTTTCTGGTACCCATGTTACCTTTCAACCCAACATGACTGTCAGGTATCAGAGACCGGACTTCCTTTACTCCAGATGTGATTGGTCTTGGATTTTTCATAGTCTTGATGACATTTACAGAGTTTGGAGAAGAAGAGAAAGCTGAGGGATTTCTCTCATTTTTTTGTGGCATTGTAGTAGTTGTAATAAGTAGTTCTCTCTGTCTAAAGCTATACCTTTGTGACAATGACGGGTACACTTTTTTGATTTTAAACTTGCTTTTGTCAAAACTGTTTAGTAGAGACTTTGTACTTTTATTCAAACCTCTGGATTGCTCCTTCAGAGCTCTCCACATAGAATCTTTAAATCCTCTGAAGCCATACATGCTTTTATCGATTCGTCCAGATTTTGAGTCTGCATTGATCCACTAGAAGTTGTATTAGCTGGACTACTCGGCACAGATTCCTCGCTAACAGTGGCATAGTTGCCCGGGAAGTCTGCTTGAGCAATGGGGAAAAGTTTTCCTGGTGTCATCAGTCCCTGGAGAAGGAAGTACCAAGGTTTGAACAAGAGTTCCTGCTGTTGTGTGATGAGATTGCTTGAAACTATCTGTCTGAGCACCGTACTGGGCAATACTAGCAGATTGGTCCATTGGATTGACACTTTCAGATGGTTGTTTTATGTACTTGGTTGGACCTCTTTGTTGTAAATTTGATGAAAACATGCCATAAAGCGGAGTATCAGAGGGCCTTTGCGTATGTGATATTGTCAGATAAGAGATGGATCTGTCACCTTGGGAATTCTTGAACAGGTATGACTGACCGTTTTTCTCTCTCAGTACCTCACTGTTTCTTGTGGATGGCCACCCCTGGGAGAAGTCTGCGATGGATGATCTCTGTGGTTCTGTGCTGCGGCTGCTTTTAATAACATAGGCGTCTAAGCTGTCACTGATTAATGGTGCATGAGGAGCAGTTTGACCTGCTACACTTGGATATTTTCTTGATTGAATTGCTCTAGATGTACTCTGCGCCCAGGACCCAGGGAGCTCATCTGTCTCTTTATAGCCACTGTAAGGCATTCTTTGAGTTGGCAGGGAAGTACTTGAATATCTACTAGTCTGGGATGAAAAAGGAGAAACTTTAGGTGGTTGCCAAACACTTTTATCCTCTGCCTCATTCTCTTCTTGGTACGATTTCTGGGCAATGCTGGGGTTCCGAACTACTGAACGACTGGAGCTCTGAAAATAAGGACTGGCAGGGTCTTTGTAAGATGCTCTCCTAATGATTGCTGAGTATGAATTGTGAAGATTACCATTTGTAGGGTGGTAATTTACACTGGATTTCAGTCCCTGAACATTTTCTCCTACATATGGATTGTTGCTGGTGGACATACTATTTGCTGGCAGCATTCCACTCTGCACTCTTGTCATTCCAGCATAGGATTGTCTGTTATCTGGGCTGTTTTGATTGTAACCAAAGCTTCCTTCTGTAAACCCCAGAGGTTTTGGTTGATGGTCAATGATTGACGGAGCTTTTCTATAATGCCAGATTGCCTCGGTGTTGCTAGGTGGTCCAGATTGGAGTCCGAATTCAGGTGATAGCTGACCTGTATAAAGCTGATGATGCTGACTGTTTGGAGTGTGCAGTCGTCTTAGGACTTTGTGCTTCACTTCATTGTCCACTTGGATTGTAATGGGACTGGCTAAGGGTGGGAAAAGAAAGGGTACAAAATGAATGATGAGTAATTTACCCTAATGTTGTTATACATGCAAATGTATTAGTTTACCAGACAAGGCATTCAACTGGAAAAAAATGAGTGGTGATATAGTATAACAGCACTGTGACTTAAAACTGTAGGACTATGTATCACTTCACTTTGGTGTTCTGAGTACTGTAGTATAGCAAGATGCAACATTACCATTACAGCAAATTATCCTTTTCTAATTTCTCACTGGCCACCAAGCAACTGTCAATCAAGTCCTCTCCCACTGATTATAACTTTAAACATAAATGTACATTAAACAAAAAAGCTGGTGGGTGTACTGATTATCATCACAACTATTTTTTCTGGGCATTTTATCCATCTGATATTGCTTTTATACTTAATAAGATACTATGAAAATCCTTGGAAAAAAATAAATGGGGTTGACAAAATTCCTGAATTCTTTTTAACTATGTCAGGTTTACTTTTAGTGTCCCTTTGATATTGTAATCCCATTTTATACCACCTCAATTATGGCTTTTCAAATAACAAAGACTAAGTAGGCTACATACATCTTCTGTTGATTTAAAAACAATTAGCAGTAGCTTTAAGGAAAGAGATACAGTTGCCTCATTCTAATTCAGTCAACACTTATGCCAGACAGTCATTAAGACACTACAGATTCAACCTCACAGATACAGAGGCCTGTTTGCGCTTACCTCTTGCAGCATCTGGATACATGAAAAACAACATGACAGCTGCACAGAGCAGCACAAAGAGTCTGCGGAGAAGAACAAAGAAACACTGTCAAGACTAGTGCAAATTTATTGGAATTGCCACCAAAAACAATCACCTACCCATCAAAGGTGATAATTACAGGTGTAAAAAGCCCATAGGTTAAATCTACCTTGTGCATAGAGCAGTATTTTCCTCCATGATGGACAGCCTCCTCCCAGGCTTGTATGAGTGTTTAAAAAAAGCCTTTATGATAAGTAGTAGTGAAGTCGATCCATGTGTTGTCAGACAAATGAGTAAGAGCTCTGACCTCTGCTGCAGGTTGTGAGTCTGATTGGAGGAGATGCTAATCACCTGGTCTTGACAGAACCACTTCCTGGAGCTGAATGCTCCTTCCTGTTTAGCCCTTTTCATGTAGAATATTTGATTATGTCTTAAAATGCTCTACCACTTGCCCACAGTTATTGGACTTGAATACTTGCACTTCATCCCTGACTTAAAGTGTTCTTTTAGTAAGCCAGGACTTGAAGTGATGAGTCATTTTAATGGTATGAACGCACACAGGTCAAACAGTTTTATTTACTCACACCAAAAAAAAAAAAAAAACCACACACTGATTTGAGATGAAAAGTATTTTATTTTTCCATAAATATTTTACATGTTTATCAAAATAAATACAATTCAAATGAATAAATATAATAGGCTACATAAAAGTGCGAGTATCTGTGTAAAATAGGCCATTTTGAGATTCACAGGTTTTCCTTTTTTCACACATAGTTTGAACAAGCCAACACAAGGCTGTAAAGACAAGTTAAATCACGGTGATGTGTCTTGCCAAGTAAGGCCGTGTTGCGTTTTTTGGTCCACTGAGCCATGTAAAAAAAAAGGATGCAGCGTCACATTGTCCAGGGTATCTGTTGACTCCTTAAAACATGTAGGCGGACATCATGGCGAGGTGCTTCATGTCATCATTGTTCATACAGTCTGTAAAAGGGAAACAGGACACGTTAGGAAAAAAAAATGATTTAAACACAGTTAGGCCGACAAATGCTCTCTCCAGTTTTTGACCAAAAAAAGCTACTAGACTCTTGAGGAGTTCTGTAAACTTCACAAATGTATCCAGCCCCTTGCCTAATTATCATAATTGTAATTGTCTTGTCTTGAATCACAAACTTTATTTTAGCCTATTAGCCAGGTAAACAGACAAAGCTGGTTCCAATACGATACTGTAACCACACGACAGGCAACTTGAAAAACAAGTCTACTTACTTTGCCGTGACTGCTTTCCGCTTATCTTCCTCCAAACTTTACTCCAGGACCTCCGGAGCCTTCCGCCTCTGGAGCCCGGTGAGGAGTCGCCCTCTTCGGCTGGTTGTCGGAGAGCGTCCCTCCTCGGTGACGTCACGGCCGCCTTGAACGACACCTTCCTCTCCTCCTCCTCCTCTCCTCCTCCTGGTCGTCATCGTCCTCCCGGTCGAGGACTCCCGCGGTCAGCAGCCGCTCCAGGACGCGCTCGTCCACTCTGAGCTCCACCCGGAGCCGCCTGTCTCCGTGGATGGATGTGACGTGTCGACACAGCGGGCAGACGATGGATTTGTCAGCTCCCAGACGTGCTGTCGTCCCGTCGTCATCGGGTCCCCCCTGAGGAGGTCGTGAAAGGGCCAGCAGGCAGTTCTCGCAGAAGCTGTGTTTGCACTGGAGCTCCCGGGGACACCGCCGACCCGCGTTGTAAGTCTGGTAACAAATTCCGCACTCAAGCTCTGAATACATCGCGCTGTCTGGAAGACGTTTGAATGAGCTGAGAGACGTGAGCTGGCCAGACTTATACCGGAGGGTGTGAGGAAATGCGTGGGAGGAACGTAGTAGATTTGAGCCAAATACACATGAGTCACCACTCTCAAAATACACGTGATGCAATAAAAAGTAATACACACTATGGCAACCACCTCTTGAGTATCTGTCTCACAAATATTGATAAGTCAGGGCTGAATCACTCCCAAGTGTTAGACACAACAGATTCTATTGATTCGTCTGCTGGATCAGAAATTGAGAAGTGTTTCAGTAATCACAGTCGAGGTGGGCATTTGGGCCCTTGTTTGAAAATAACAAATAACGTGCCTTCTTTTATTGCCCCTATGAGAAATAAAACATGATGAAACAAGACGTTCAGTGGGTAATCTGGGATAACATGCCCATAGGTGCCATTACAGAACTGAAAGTATAATAAAGTACACCATCAATCACTCTTTTGTATCCACATCCACCAGGGAAAAGGTGATAACATGCCCCCTCACGTACCCTGAAAGTGAAAAGTACAACATGAGCAGTGGGTGTGTTGTGCGCCCCATGTGCGGAGGCCCTTGTCGCAGCAGTCGTGGGTTCAAGCCCGCGTCGGCCCATTGCTGCGCGTTGTGACCCGCTCTCTCCGTCCCAGCCTTTTCCTGTCTTTCTTAAGCTGTCCTACATATATATATAAAAAAATATCCCAAAAAAACTAAAAGCCCCTGAAAATTGTCCAGATGATCTGCATGAAGGCAAACGGGCAAATAAGCATGATGTTGTGTCAGGGTCTCCAGCTTGATAAAAGTTCTCAAGGGTACAATTGTAGTGTAGAAAAAGTGACAGTGTGTCTTCCGAGGTGTCTTTCTGTTGGAGAAAACTTGATAATGTTATCCTAAAGGGGCTTTTTTTTAGTGGATCAAATATTTTACTCTCATTGTCGGGTGCCCTGACAGCGGAGAAAGAGTGGTGGCGTGTGCTAAAGGGAGTCAGAAGTCGACAAAATAAGACATCAGGGTGTCCTTTCAGTGGAAAACCACACAAGTATACCTTTAAGGTTACAAATGAATTGGACAAACACATGTTAGAAAATGTAGTCTGGGCCGTTCCCTTCACTAATGCAGCTGGTGTCCTTCTTTTTTATTTCGCTCCTGCCATAAAAAAGCCTGATACACCACTAGTCCCTTGTAATGATTCCCCTACTTAATCTAACTTGTGCTTATGTCAGGAGTCCAACCCCTCGTGACATCAACGATACTGTGGGTGTGTGTTTGTGTGTGATGTGACATGCCTCTTGGTAATTCCCAAAGAAGCCGCCTCCTATCTGTTGTTACAGCCTGAACTCCTTTCATGGTGATTTCCGCTGAAATCTCGGCCAACAATCACAAACTCTCTCAATCTCTGTGTGTGTGTGTGTGTGTGTGTGCTTGCATGTTTGTGTGTGGTTTTTAGTCTTTTGTTCATTTTTTGTCGACTTTCCCGCTTTTTGACTCCAGCAGCTCAACTTACTGTAATGTGTTTGTTCATTTTAAACACACGTTCTGAAAAGGGATAACGGTAAAAGATGGGGGGAAAAAACAGTACACTGTTGATTTTGGATCCGTCCAGTTCCCAGTAGGCGGAAAACTCAAATAAACTATGAAATAAAGTCACATTCTCATGAAGATTAAAAACAACATGTGACTGTCCTCAAGTACAATTGACAACTTGGCTGGGTTTGAAAAGTGGAGCTAATGCTGAAGTGTCTTAAACCTGCATTTTTTTTTCTCATGGCCAACAGGGGGCAGTTTTCAAAGTCAGCTTGTGTAGAAGTCAATAAGAAGAAGACCCTGCTTTATTTTACACATTTATTGCGTAAAAGTGTATCACAATGACACCTACACACTGATTCCAAAGTAAATGGGATTACCTATCTGTAATGGAGCTTTTCAGCTTGACTGATCATGAATCTTGCATCTAATCTTGATATATTTTGAATGGTATATTTCGTTTAACAACATAAGAAAGGGGGCGCTGGTAACACAGTCCCTTGTACGGAGGCTTTAAACCTCCACACGGACGGCCCAGGCTCGAATCCGACCTGTGGCTCCTTTCCCGTATATCATTCCCCAACTCTCTCTCCCTCTCCAATTTCTGACTCTATCCACCACCCTAGCTCTATAATAAAGGCACAAACAGACAGAGAAACTAGCAGCTCTGAAGTTCAGTGAAAGTCACCTTTAATGTGTTTTGTTGACTGGTCATACTGGTTAATCAATAATAAATTAATTCAGCTGAAGGTAGCAGTGAAGGTGTTGTTCATGTGTTTACAAGATGAGGAAATCGTTCCATGAGGGGCAACCAATACAGTATGTGACTTCATTTATCTGTCAATAATTCACCTGTTTGCACCTTACAGGAATGTTCCCCTGCTCTGAACATACACATGATGTTCTGTAACTACTGCAGATTTACTTCTACTAGTTTCCTAATGCCCTTAAAAAAACACTACTTCTTTGTCAAATGTAAAACACCCATAATAATAATAATAATAAAAATAATTACACATTGTGGTATCCTACATGCTGACTGTGTGAAGGCATAATAACATAATATGGGAGTAGAGTAAGTCTTATGAGGATCAAGAGACTCCTATCTGTCATTTTCTGTCTTATGTATCCTGGTAACGTGCACATCACCAAGGGTTTAATTAATGCTGAGCAAACCACACAGAGATGCCTCATGGGGGAAGAGTCAGAGAAACGAGGACAAGTAGAATCAGGTGAGACCGAGCGAGAACAGGAGGCTGACAGTGAACTAGGCTCAGACATGCAGCGGGAGAGAAACTCGAGTTTTTAATGTGCAAACAGAAGAGAGAGGAGGACACTCTGCCCAGGCTGAGATCTGTACCAACATGAGGAAGAGTGGGATTTGTGGGAAGAGCAGGGGAAGTACACAGCAGGTCGGAGGTGGGCATCAAAGTGAGCTCTGATAAAGGGGGAGTGTGCAGTGGGTAAGTGCCGCTCTTATCTGCTGCTGAGTGTGTTATGATGGATCACTGCCAAATCCTCTCTGTTAAATCTCACTGAAACTGGTGGCCTACATAGATACAAGAGGGCTCAATTATTCATACAGAGCATCTACTCTGCTGAATTCAACATTTCTCTGTCGAAGCCTATCTGCCATAACATACGTTGCCATTTTAGTATTAAAAAAATTGGTTCTTGTTTCTGTACATTAGTTTTTATCCACTATGTCTGCTCGTTTACTTTTAAAAGAAAAGGTTTCAGGCCATGGGTTGCCATGCACCAATTCAAAGCAGACCCCATCTGCTCAGCAACAATCCCCCTGTGAGTTTACAGGGGTTGCCTTGTAGTAAGCCTGTCCCTTGTAAACAACACATAAGGACAAATAAAAAGTGTAAGAAAGCAAAGAAATGTAATGCTTCGCTTTAAAAAAAAAAAAAAAAATCACAGCTTTTTATGCAGCAGAAATTACTCTTATTTACTGTCTTTGTGGTCAGCTTAATTAAATTTGCCAATCTTAACCAATTAAGCTAAAGCGTCCAACCTCCGGAGTTGAAAAATGAGGCCAAGTGCAAAATACTGCAGTTCTTCAAGTGTCCACTTGGGGCTGGCTCCAAAAGACCTGGAAGTCACATACACACCTTCTATTGAGTTAATGTCCTTATCAGCACAAACTGTAAGGGGGATGAATTTTCTTAAATAACTCATCAGTTTTGAGTTTATGAAGGATACAGGTTATGCATAATAAGGCGCCTGGCTGACAGGAGGGCACAGTGTAGCTGTTTGTCAGGCGGCTTAAAACCCTCTCAGCTCCAGCTATCGTAGGTTGAGACATATTTCCAAAGCCTCCTGCAGTAACCAGTGAGTGACGTCACTTAGGCTTCGTCCACTAATATTTACAGTCTATGCGATAGGCTAGGCTAGCTCTGTCAAAAGCTGGCAAAATATTACCACCAACGCTGCTACGTTAAGGAAATACATTTTGACGTTTTTAGTCGTTAGGTAAGTAAGCTAACTGACAACAGAGAGCTGTCCGAAGGTAGCGCAACCCTCCTACCTCGGACAAACAAAGAGCACAAACTAGACTAGCTATGCTCAAAGGAAAACAAACTGCTGATGCTAAAACAATTAAACTTGAAGCTAATATGTTTCTTTCATTAAAATATTCTTGTGGCCAACATTTGCAACAAATTAGCGGGGCTTATTATTGAGCTTTAGTGCTACTGCTATGGGGATGTTGTGTTGTTGTTACTTTTGAATAGAGACTTCTTGTTTTTTTCTCCTAATTTAATGATTTATATGAAGCTTTAGGCTAAGCAGCCACTGTCTTCCTTATATAGAACAGACAAACAAGAAAGCGAACAAGCTTATTTGCAGATCTATTACTTCAACTGATTTTTGTTTAATCGCTCACACATTTTCAGGCTTAGTTAATATAAATTCAGTGTGCATGGGCCCAATAGTTCCATACAGTTGAAGTGCCACTTAAACAATTGTAGATCAGACTTATAATGTTCATAATGTCGGACTAATGTGAAAAAAGAGTGGCGGCAGTACTTTTTGTCTCTCTTCTGTATTGGTCAAACTCACAAAGCATTGGTTCCACTTCCTGCAATGACCTACTCTCCTCTTTTGAGCTCGATGTAATCAGTTTGTAACATAAGATAACCCATATGACAAATCAGCCTCTGTCTGTAATCCTTCAGAAATCTCCTTTACACGCACAAAAGAAAAATCTGATTCAAAAATCGGTGAGGTGCCCCTGAAAATGATAATGACAAATTTAAGTGCAGAAAAAGTGGACGTGAACAAACGCATGTGCAGATGCAGTAGGTGTCATTAGTGACTTATTACTTCCTTACGGAGCTCTTGTGTGTTTTTTTTTATTTCCTGACTTTCTGGACATGCTGAGTCTGCAGGCCGGCACACACTAGATGGAGCAGGGTGATTAAGAGGAGGTTTTAGGGGGGAATAGTTTGACGGTGGATGTCTGAGTGGTTTAAAGGATAAATGCTATGACTCATGGGCTGAGGAATCTGCTTCATTAAACAAAGACACAAGCAGCATCCAATGAAAAGAAGATTGTGACGTCTAAAAGCATCTGGAGGCCTCACAGAAGTTGTTTTCTCTTTACAGATTTCCCAAACTCCTCTTACTATCTTGCCATCACTGTGTTCCCAAGATAACTCCATTCTGTACCCTCCCCTCACCATGATGAGGGATGTTGTCCCAGCTCCCAGCAGGGGAACCCAGCTGCAGAAGCACCCATCCCCAGCACCACCCCTGGGGAGCCCATGGATGTGGAGTGTCCCATCTGCTACCAAGAGTACAACCAGTACAATAAATGCCCCAGGATGCTGGAGTGCCTCCATGTTTTCTGCACTGAGTGCCTGCAGAGGATCCAGCTCTGCCCCTCTGACCCGGCTGACCCCCACAGCCCACCCGCAATCCCTTGTCCACTCTGCCGCCACCTCACCCCTCTGGAGGCCGGCGACGCCCTCTCTTTACCCTGCAACTCCTGCATCCTGGCCAGGCTGCCCCCCATGGCCTTCCGCATGCCTGTGTCCATGGCAACCCGCCTTGCAACCGTCACCCAGAGAGTGGTGTTGTCCCTAGAGGGGGACAACAGGGACACCCGCTTCATCATCCTGCCCACCGTCAGCCTGCAGGTTCAGCAGATGCACCCAGACAGGCTGTACGGCGCAGCGCCAGGCCTGATGGGAGAAGAGGAAGTCATACAGCAGAGCAAGAAGACGCTCTTCTGTGTGCAGCTGCTAGCTGTCACCTTCTGGGTGCTGTTTGTGATCACGTGTGTGGTCGGGGTGGTGTTTGGCCCTCATTTCTTAAACAGAAAACTCTAACAAGAAACAGGGTATCTCCTTTTTTTTTAAGAAGATATAGTTTATATAAGGTCTCAATATGGACTAGTTACATGAGGAGTCTATAAAAGTAGATTACACACTTTTCATTTTTAGAAAACAGAAAACACAAGTTGTTTATAAATAATATATGTTGATGAGGATATATTTTAATACTGTGGTTGATATCCACTGGACCAACTCTATGTTTACAGATTACCACCATTTAGACCAATCCTTTTTCAATTTGTTTGTTGCACATTTTTAATAAAATGGTAGGCAGACAAAGTACTCCCTCTAGTGGTTCATGTAGAAATAAATGGATTGACACCAAAAAAAACGATTCATATCTGAAAATGATTTTTGTGTGTGAAGGTTTTCAATCACCTCATCACACATCTGATGACTTTCTTGCCAATGCATATAGTGAATAAAGCTGGCTTACAGAACACATTTACACGTTATCTGTGTAATCAGAAGATGTGCTCCTGGATATTCATGACTGATTTCTGTTATTTGGAATTTCCTTTCATAATAGTAAATGGGATCGTCATTTCAGTAATCTTCAAAGGCCAAAAGTAAATGGTGCCTTATATTGAGATCACCTTTCAGCGACTGCGATGATAAAACTGACCTCTACGGCGATGCAATCAGAAAAGTCAAATAGATTAAAGGCTTTAGCAGTGTAGACTTTCTTCTGTCTGTATTGTTTTGCATTTGTCCTGTCCTTGGGATATGTCGATAGATTTTGTGTCGGTAATGGTGATGCTTTAGTCTGTTAAACACTTTAATAAGTTCACACATAGAGCATTTTTTTTGATGTTCTGAATTAATGTTTATCAATTAAATTGAAATGACATTGTGATCTAGAGGTGCATATTCTAAAATCATATTTACTCTACACCTATACTTTACCTGACACAAGCTTTCTAATGGGTTAGGGCACCAAAGAAGAAGCTTACTTTGCACTTAGCAGTAGAATATAAGGGATTAACAGTTTTATCTGTCTTCTTTCTCTTTTAGAATCAGTGCATATATCCTAAAGCAACAGTAAAATAAATGCTAACAAGTTAATAATGAAGTATGATGCATAGTTAGAGTCTAAGCATGTGATGAGCAAGATCAGATAAGAACCCAATATTAACATTCAAAATAATTATCTATAAATGTGTTTTCATTCAGGTTTATAAATGTACTTATTAAAGTAAGTATGTGTAGATATTATCCTTATAACACATAACTTGAAAGTCACAAGCAAAAGGATACAACATATGAAAGATGTAGCCAGTATGTACTGTAAATCTCCCACTAACAAAGAAACAAAAGAAGATTTAAAAAATGAATATCACTGTTTTTTTCTGGACGTGTTCTTGATATTTATGACTGTTTACTTTGTCTAACTTGTTGTGTTTTTGATGTATGTCCGCCTTTGAACAAATAGAAGTAGAAAAGATTAAATAAAATCATTTCCAACTTTATTTTATTTATCTGACGACAAATTCTTGACCACTTCTGTAGCTATGCATAATATTAGTGTTACAATTTTGAAACTATCCTATGGTTATTAAAGTGTTTTGTTCCAATCAGCAAACTCGTAGCCTAAATCACAACACATTCATAAAATCCCAAGAATTACATTGCAACATTTTCTTCTTCTATCTTCACCCTCTCCTTTTGAGCAAGCCCTGCTGCTCTCAGTGCATGTGTGAATTTGCTTAGGCTATTACATTTTCATTTCAAAACAGATCCAGAGGTCTCTCCAGAAGAAAGCAGTATGGTGGTCTGCACTAGGAGCGGTCGATTTCATCCGTGACTTCTCAGGACAACTGCATGGATACAGATGAATGTTTTCCAGATGCAGAGAGAATTGATGTGACTGGGTTATACTGAACAAAGAATATCATATTTGATTCTGCAGGCAGTCCATTTTAATACATGTAATTGAGAAGAAATAGCCAAATGGTGTAAAGCAGTGGTGTCCAAACTTTTTTTCTTGAGGGCCAAAATTGTCATGTTAGAATCGCTCGCAGGCCACAGGATTTGTTTTTTGGAATATAGTTTCAAAAATAGTGAGGCTTTGTAGATCAGAATCAAAAGGCTCGCTAAAGAAACCCTTTAATAAAAGGAAATCAAATATTTTGATTTCTTCATTCTACTTTATTTGTTTTTATTTGTAACGTGGTTCATGTTTTTTGGAAAAGCTTTCTGCATTTAGCTCAGGTCATTAAATGGTTAAACAACAGTCTGCTTTTCATAGTTTACAAAAAAATGTGGAAAATAGTAAAAGCTGTAGATTTAAAAAAAAAAAAAAACAACATACATGTTACTGAACATTTACTACTTTAGGAATATTGTTGAGCCCTTGTTAACATGAAAAAGAAAATAAGATAATGTGCCAATCTTAACAAGGCCTCAAAATCTTCTGATTCTTCATTTGAAGTCACGGGCCGCAAAAAAATCCCCTCAAGGGCCGCAAATGGCCCTCGGGCCGCACTTTGGACACCCCTGGTGTAAAGGGTAAGGGTCTTTATATTCCAGTGTTTTTTTTTTTTTATTGTAAAGCGTATGAACTACAAGATTAAAACAAATTGCCTAAATGTTTGAATTTCCCTGGATAAACAAAAAATAATAATATTTTCAAAACTTGAGCTCAAGCAAAAATCCTGTCTGGTAGAGCACGTAGAGAAAAAAAAGAGGGGGGGGGGGGTAACGTGTTTACGTCATACGCCGCGTTGGCTCGCAAAAAGTGGTGTTGAAAAAGTTTTTAGACCCCCTCCCCTGTATGTTTTTGTTGGGGGAAAAGTTGTTGGAAGTTAGGTCGTGTGAATGTAGCGTGTCCGCCGTTTTTCGCCCCTCGGTTTCAGGGGGAATGCGAGTTTTTCCAGAGTCGGACAGCGAGCTTTTGGAGCAGCGTTTCTCCGCTTTAAGTCCTCTGGCTCCGGCTGAAAAATCTCAGTGGCCATCATCGTTTCACCTCTGCCGTCTCGTTAGCCACCGAGCTAGCTGCGCCGAGAGCTCACTACCCCAACAAAGTTAACCTCACCTCATCGTGGCTTTCTTGTGGTGACTTTTCGCTTTGGAGGGATTAAAAAAAAAGCAACAATAGAGATGGCGGAAACCAAAATAATTTATCACATCGACGAAGAGGAGACGCCGTACTTGGTGAAGATACCCATTGCTGCCGAAAATATCACTTTGCTGGATTTTAAACAAGTCCTGAACAAGCCAAACTACAAGTTCTTCTTTAAGTCTATGGACCAGGACTTCGGGTGAGCTGTGTTTTTTTTTTGTTCTCCTTTTTTGCAGGGAAGAGATGTGTGGTTTTGCATACAAACTAACTCAAGTGTTAACATCTTTTGTAGGCAAAGTAACAATAAAAAAGTGACAAAAGCCGAAAACCAAAGTGTTTGAATGTGACTTCTGTTTATGAGAGGATCAGCATGAAGTTAAGTCACTATAAATGCTTGCTTTTATAAACAACAACAACAAAAAAAAAAAGGTGTCAATGTTGGAATTTGTGCATGTTTGCGTGTCAAATAAGTCATGCAATCCTATCTTGTGACCGGCTGTCGTATGTTGGTCACAGGGAATAACTTCTGGTTGAAGGATAATATACACAAAGGCAGCCAACAACAGCCTTTATCAAAAATCTGAACAGATATAATGAGCGGTGATGAATACACAAGTGCTTCTATAAATACTGAGGGTATGTAGGCTGGGACATTTCTTCGAAAACATCATCATTACAATGGGAGGCATTCCCTGTCCCTGCTGCTTTTCTTTACCCTAATCCTCATGCCTCCCTCCCTCCTTCAGTCCATCATCTTGTGAAATCCTCGCCTTTTCTTTCAGCGGGGACTGAAGCCAGGGTTTTGTCTCCCCTCTTTAACACTTTGGCCTGCCAGCCATCCTTTCATTCCCCGTGCTTCCTCCCTTCCTCTCTCCCCCCCCTTTTTTCTTCCAGAAAAGAGCTGTCTCCTCTCCTCTATCAATTAATCTTTTTTTTTTTTTTTTTTTCCTCAGTGGGACTGGCTGTGCTTTTTCCTGCATAGGAATGCATGTTTGTGGTTTATTCACCCAGTGAGACCCTTAGGGCTCCTGTTAAATGCATTGTAGTCTTGGATGAGTATTAAGGCTGGGCCATTTGCTTCCTTTCCTTTATGGATGGCACCATCAGAGTCGGTGCTCAGGGAGCTGCTGTATCAACTCGTCAAAAAATGAAATGGACGCGATGGCTTTTCATCAGGCGTTGGCAGAGCTGGCAGGCTGGAGCTGCCCTGTGGATACAGATCATTTGAATATTAATAGCAGCAACATCATTGACTCAATGGTAGAGAGCATTGAGATGTGCTTTTAAGAAAATCTGAAACACTTTCCCTGATCATCATCCGTTGTGGGGATGTTGAAATACTGGTAGAACAATATATCAAGTTGATTTTAGGTGAGCTGCTTGTATTTTCATCATATGACCTTAAGGTCAGGCTATAAAACAATGTCATATTCAGGTCTGGAAACTCTGTTTGTTACCAACAATGTTTCCTGACAGTTTGTGGCCTCAGCTGTTTACCAAGACAAAAACAGACGATGAAAAGAACGTCTTGTCTACCTGAAGAGGGTTAGTGTTACCTGGTTAACTTTTAGTCTTGTGTTTATGGAAAAAAATACATTTTTTTTGTTAGCTGTGATTACTCAGAATTATTCTACAGGTCTTAGTTAAATCCTCTTTTGGAGAAATCTACTTATTTGTGCACTGATTAATTGTTTGGCGACTAAATCTGTTTGAAGTGACCAAAGCCGAACCATGCACTTTTTAAATGTCTTGATTTCAAGTCAAAAGATAATTCATTTACCAAAGTCTACCAAAAGTTACAGACGCTCACGTATGAGAAGCTGGAATCATGTAAACAAATGTTTGCTAATTTCTTTTTACGAAAACATGACAGCAGAATTTTCAGATGAGGGACAAGATGTCCTCATGGGGAATGTTTCTGGTTTCTGCCGTC